GGGTGGGGTCTGGGAGATGGAGTCTGAGGGGCCGACTCGGGTCAGCCGGCGAGGACGGGGCCTTGCCGGGCACCAAGGTGCGTGCCCCGGGGGAGACGCGCCCTCAGTCCAGAGGAAGTAACCCGCACATCCTGTCGGCCTGCGAGGCCCAGGTCTGCGGTGTGGCCTTGTCCATCGTGAGCTTGGGGGGCGGTGGGCATTGGTCTAAGGGAGCACACTCGGGGCCACGGAGGGAGGAATCTCGGGCCTCGGGAGGTGGGCATGGGGGGGCTGAGGGGCGCCCCCTGAGAGAGCAGACTGAATCCCAACTGTACTTTGCCTCTTTGGTCAGGCAGGAGGATGCAGCACCCAGTGGCTGGGTGTGGCGCCTCACCTTGCCTCCTCCACTAGTGTTTCAAGAAGGTTCCATTGCAATCTAAAGGAAGGTGACCCCCAGATCAACGGGGGTGGGGGTTGGGAGGGCTCTCTCAGGTATCAAAATCGTCCCCGAGGGAAGGGAACTCAACTCTTTCAGGACACATGACACACACACACACACACACACACACACACACACACGCCCGCCAGGTTTGGCCACATCTTGGTGTCCCCTCTGGGGTGCCCTGGGGCAGCTGGGGGAGATGTGGGGCCCCCACGCCCTCTGTTTGTCTCAAGCCTGTATAGTCTTCTGAGGGTTTTGCACCTGGCCAGCAGAGGGCTGGGCCCAGCCACTGCTGGAGAGGGTGAGAGCCCTGAGTGAGCACCGAGCAGCACCCAGCCCAGGACAGGGGGACCCCACAGAGCCTGGCCCGTCCGTCCTGGCACCTCTGGAGGCCTACACCCCGAGGGGCCTCCTCCTTTGTTCTCACAGGGGCTCCAGGACCTTGGCGGTGAAGGCCTTGCTCTGAGGCTCACATCTCGGGGCACAGCGGGTGGAGCCCAGAAACTACTGGAGTCAAGGTGAGGTGCCCCCTCCTCAGAACAAAGAGGTCCCCACACGTCCAGGTACTCCCCCCACCCCCCCACCCACCCCTCCCGAGCGGAACCTTCTCTTGTCCTCACTTTTAAGAAGCCCCAGCTTCTCAGTTTGCGCTCTTCAGTAGACCGCGGCCCTGTAGGGCCCAAGAGCACCCTAACAGGCAGCCTTTAAGTCACCTTTCGGGACCAAGGGAGCGCTACTCAGCGGGGATGCTCGTGCCCTGTCTCTCCTAGGCCCGTGGGTCCCGTCGGTGCGCACGCCTGCCAGCTGCTTCCAGGCCCCGCGTGCCATCATGCCTCGACCTTCGAAGCGACGGCGCTACCTGCTGGAGGAAGAGGAGTCCCAGAGCCAGGAGCACCTCGGGGAGATGCAGGATCCTGAGGCGATGCAAGAGGAAGGTTCCTCTTCCTCTACCTGCTCCTCCTCTCTCCCATCCTCCTCCTCTTCCTCATGCTACCCTCTGCTCTCTGTCACCCCCGAGGAGCTGAGTACTCCCGAGACACCCAGCCCGTCCCTGAGTCCGCCTGGCATGTGCCTGGCTGATGCTGAGGTCTCTGAGCCTGAGAGCCCGGCCCAGGAGATGAGTACCACCTGGAGCCCCGACTTGGAGGGTCCCAGCACCTCCGCGCAGGCCCTGCAGGCCCTGCAGGCCATGCAGGCCATGCAGGCCCTGCAGGCCATGCAGGCCATGCAGACCGTGCAGCCCACGCAGACCGTGCAGGCTACACAGACCGTGCAGGTCGCGCAGGCCACACAGTCCGTGCAGACCGCGCAGGCCACGCAGTCCGTGCAGACCGCGCAGGCCACGCAGTCCGTGCAGACCGCGCAGGCCACGCAGTCCGTGCAGACTGCGCAGGCCACGCAGTCCGTGCAGACCGTGCAGGCTACACAGGCCATGCAGGCTGTGCAGGTTGCGCAGGCCATGCAGGCTGTGCAGGTCCCTAGGTGCACTGCCAGAGTGGCAGTGGATGATGAGAAGGTGGCTGACCTGGTGCAGTTCCTGCTGCTCAAGTATCGTGCCCAGGAGCCGACCAGCTGGGCCGAGATGCTGAGGGAAGTGCTGGGCGGGAACGAGGAGCAGTTCCCTGACGTCTTCACTCACGCCTGCGAGTGCATGCAGCTGGTGTTCGGCCTTGACGTAAAGGAGGTGGACCCCCAAGACCACTCCTATGTCCTGGAAAACACCCTCGGCCTCACCTATGACGGGCTGCTGTGTGGCGGGCAGAACGTGCCCAAGACCGGCATCCTGGTCCTTATTTTGAGCATAATCTTTATCGAGGGCAACAGCGCCGCCGAGGAGGAGATCTGGAGAGCCCTGGAGGTGATGGGGGTGTGTGCGGGGGCCGAGCACTTCATCTTTGGGGATCCCAAGGAGCTCCTCACCGAAGTGTGGGTGCGGGAGCAGTACCTGGAGTACCGGCAGGTGCCAGGCAGTGATCCCCCCCGCTACGAGTTCCTGTGGGGCCCCCGGGCTCACGCCGAGACCAACAAGATGAAAGTGCTCGAGTTTTTAGCCAGAGTCCATGGGAGTAACCCCAGGTCCTTCCCACTGTGGTATGAGGAGGCGTTGAGAGATCTGCAAGAGCGCACCGAGGCCAGCATGGACGCCCCCCAGGACGAACCCGCTGACACGGCCGACGTGAGTTCCACCACGGGGCCCAGCGACTTCCCCCAGCCCGAGTGAGGCGGGAGGCGGGTTCTCCACGGTGCGGCCCACCTCGGCGTCAGATTCAGCAGCCGGGCTCGGGCTGAGGGCGTCACCTTGGGGTTCCTGTTCCAGAAGGATGACTTAGAAATCTGTGGCTGTTCTGTATTTTGAAATGTTGTTCTTTCGCAAGGAAGCTGACTGCCTTCCGAACCTGCGTTTACGGTGACACTGGTTTATTGTTCACCCAATGTGAGAGTTTCGCTGTTTTGTAAAACATCGGGAAGCCTCTTATGTCTGTAGCCTGTGACAGGTAGTGAGGCACTGATGGAGTCATTTCCTGGAGATGTGGAAGATTTTGCTGTAAAATACATGGGTCCAGAAGTGGAAATAAAAGAAAGTTCGTTCTTGGTCTCTCTGCTTTACGTCTTTCTGTAAAACTAAAAAGCAGACGTGTCTGCATCGCGTGGGCTGTTCGGGGAGGAGAGATGCATCCACGGGGTAGGAGCCAGTCAGGAGCAAGGGGGTGACATGTCCCCCGGAGACAGGAGTCAGGCGGACAGCCTGGGGCTTGGGGACCTGCAGTGCCCTGTGGGGTGACCGCCCTCATGCGGAGCGGGGGGGCAGACTCGGAAGCCCAGACTCAGAGATGGGGAACTGCCCCGATAGAAAGTCTCCTGGGCAGCCTCTGTGGGTTGCAGGGGTCCGCCCGCGGGGCCCGGCGAGCTGCCCAGCCCAGGGCGGTGCTTTGCCCGTCACCTGCCCGGTTTCCTGAGAACCAAGGGGACTCCGTGAACGAGGCCCAGGGGTCACCAGTGGGCACCCTTTCCAGGCCTGGGAGAGCCAGGCTGACTGCAGATGAGCCTGTATGTGGATTACCTTCGTGGATTCTGCTCACTCTCAGCGGCGCACAGATGTGTGGGGCGGAGGTGGAGTGAAAGTGTGCTTGGGGTGCAAGTCCAGCTGGGAGTGAGGGAGTCCGTCCTTGACTGAGATGCTAGGAAGCGTGAGGTGTACCCAACTAGGGAGCACGCCTCGCCTATGCCTATGGCGATTCACTGCGTTTTACGAAGGAGCCCACCTTGAGTAGTCAAGGCTACACCGTCCCAAGTGGTAGATGAGGAATGACCAAGGACACCACTGGAGAGCAGATACCTGCAGAGGCTGTATCCTGCAAACATGCAACACCCCAGGAGGTGAGAAACGGTTTCTTGGTAGACCGTTCACTCCAATTAAAAACACAAAAGAATTATCTATGTTTTCACTGGTGTTTGTCTATGTACCTGTCCCATAACCAAATGACCATTCTGCGCATTCGTGACGACACCAATACGTCATGTCCGGGTGTGTTCAGTCGCAGGCATGTCCAGGTGATCTCAAAGGGACGTGCAGGGAGGGCTGCTGGGTGCAGAAGCGAAGCTGCTGCAGGGCATTCTGTCGGGTCCCTTGAAAATTACACTCCGGCCTGGTGGGCACCCGGATAAGAAAGTGGGAGAACTGAAGGCAGATTGGGCCTCTCGGAAGTTCCTCTGAGAAAGGAAGGCTATTGTTGTAACAAACTGATTGCATTTTCGTGGCACCTCCTATCTCGAGTGTGTGGAGAGGACCCCTGCTCTCCTGCGTATCTTGTTTTCCCCTTTTGGGGCACATGAAAGGCTACATGTCACCCCCGGCCACAAGGAAAGGGCCGCATGGCGGCCCCTTGTCACCGAGACGTGCAGAAGCCTCAGTTGTTGGTTGGAGCCATGCACTTGACAACCTGCAAGCCCACTCTGCAGGCTCGAGCTCAAGTCACAGGAACATGGCAACCCTGGGCTGAGAAGGGCAAGGGGCCTGGGTCACTTGGTGACAGAGATTGCCCAGCTGCACCACAGTGACCCCTCCCCTGCAGGACATGCACTGTCGTACAGTCTTGGTTACATCAGCTTGACCTGATGTCAGCTGACTAGAAATGCGCTGCTGCCCTCTCCGTTGCTCAAGCACATTTAACTATTTCAGCTTCCCAGGGGACAGCATACACAGCATGCACACGCTTCCTGCAAACAAACTCATTTAAACACCTTGTAAAGGTAATTTCCCTCTTATTAAATTTCCTCCAAAGTCCCAGCCCCTACTCAGAGGTAACCACAACCAAAATACTGATTATTGGATGAAAGTGGAGAAAGGGTGTGAGGACTTAATAGTTTTATAAATAGCGCTGAAATTCCCCCCAAATACTGCACCATCTGTATCCTCAAAAACTATCGTATGTCATGCTCCTTCACCCTCCAAATACTTGGGTCATTTCTTTGAATTGGGTCAAAATTAGGGTAAAAATGCTGTTTCATTGTCTTAATTTGTCTCTCCGCTTTCTGATTCCGTCGAGGGAACACTCACTGCGTGTCCCCGGTGAAGCCCTGAGTAACAGGATTCCTCTGGGTGTGATTTCAAATTTGGAAATTCTGAGATGTTGAAACCTTTCCGTTTGATGCTGAGAAGCAAGGACTCGGTCAGGGGCCGGGCCGGGCAGCAGGCAGCAGGCCCCAGCCCCTCAGGGGCCTCGGGAGGCTGGAGGGGGGAGCTCTGCCAGAGCCGGAGAGGCCCAGTGCAAAGCCGGGCGGGAGCCCTGCCAGCTGGACTGAT